AGAAGACACTCATGGCACCATCAGAAATACCTACTGATTACCTGGCACTTTAGTGTTAGGCCCAGGGAGGAAACTAGGATGGCAGATGTTTCTGTCCAGGCTTGCTTCCACTGACATTTCTGAGCCAGGAACAGGCCATGACAAATTCATACCCACTCACCACATTCAACAACAAAAAGGCATTTTCCATTCATTTGATCAACTAAGCGCTATGGTCTGAGCATTTTCCAACCTGATGGAGCCAGAACAAGGTTAGCAAATGACCAAGGCACAGGTGGGAACCCCACTACTGAGCAGCTGATGGGTGGACATATTACAAACCGTATCAGGGAGGCTGAAAAATGTGATCTACCATCAAACCCATTCTCATGTTAAAAGGTCTAGGTAACATATTTCAACAAGTTAGAAGACAGTAAAATACACCAACAACTTTGGTTTTTTCTTTGGCAATATATGAACAAATCAGTCTTATCAAGAAAGCTAAAAGCTGTCTGTCAAGAGGGCTGGAAGCGGCTGACCAAGGTCAGACATCTGAAGAGCAGGTCCTTGTGGGCCAGATGCACAGCCTCTCAAGGCACAGCCACTGGGTACAGCCATTAACCCCTCAGGGCTCCTGATTCTCTAGTTTCTGCTTGAGAGATGGAGCTGCAAGATCATCATGCATTGCTGCCATTTTTTTTTTTTAAGATTTATTTATTTATGCAAACAAGCACTGTGGTGTAGGTCAGAGGTAGGGGGTGGTGGGCAAGAGGATTTACCAGAGATAGAGTGGGGAGCAGAACAGGCCGATCTAGTGAAATCCTGTGCTGAGGGGTGCAGGGGCGGGTCAGGAGAGGTCTGCTGCCCCATGTGGGTCAGCTCCTTGGCCGGGGGTTGAGCTTGTGCTGCAGTGGCTGCAGGCAGCCTCCTAGTGCTGCACTTTAACCTGTTGTGCCACCAGGGAGGGCCCAATGTGCGTCTTCTAACCCATCATTCTGCAAAGAGTTTTTAGACAAAATGGGATGAGGGAAGTTTCTGTTGATGCGTTACACACAAAGGCTTTGGATCTTTGTGGTCTTGACCATGGCCCCTGGGGCCCTCATCTCTGTCTTTCCCTCTCCATCCTTTGATGCATCCGAGCAGGGCCCCCTGCATGCTGAAGAACACAGCCCACCCCACCCCTACAGTCTTTTGTCAATGAGCCATGAACAAACCATACACAGAGAGAAGCTTCTTTTTTTCTTCAATTTAATTGAAGTTACTTAGAAAAATAATCAGGTCTGAATGGCTTTTCCCGGAGGAAGGTTCATGAACATTTCACGCTTTTGTTGGCAATGTGGAATCCAGCTTGCTTTACCAGTAAAATACAGGGAGTTTTCCTACAATAAGCCCTCTACTGCACACAAATATGTAAAAAAGAAAGAAAATCACACTCCACAAAGATGTTAACTTGTATGTCTGTGCCATGTTGCGCATGCTCATAAGAACAGTACCGGCAGCCCCTTCTGTACCTGACAGAGTAGCAGACTGAAATCCGCCTGTTAACAGCTAAAGCCAAGCTGGTTGCATAGGTCCAGCTGCCTTTCAGAGGGTCCAGTTGGTTGTAGGGGAGTAATGAGGTCAGACCTGCTGACATAGGGTGGACCAGGACAGGGTTCATGTGTGTGTGTGTGTGCGCGCGCGCGCACACACCAGGCGTGGGAGATGAGCTCTGAGGCTGCCTGCCAGCCTTCTGCCAGGTTGGGGGAGGGATTTTGCCAGCATTTCCTTGGTACTGGCCCAGACCCCACCTGATAAAGGGGTGCCAGACTCCCTTTGTTATGGGAACCTTCTCCTACCTTCCTTGCTTGTCAACAGCACAACTGGTCAGGTTTCCTCTTCCCACCACTCTCCTGTGGCCTCCAGATCCTGAACGAGCAGGACAGTGAGGCTCACCTGTTGGGCAGGTAGGAAGGTCCCCACTGAGACACTACAAGTCAGCAGATTGCCCTTCCAGACCAGCTGGGGAGGGGGCTGCTAAGGGGGGCCCAGGCAAGCTGCAGGAATCTGCACCCTATGGCTGATCGTTTTCCAACCACAGGGTCTGAGAAGCAGGAATGTCCTTGTGAAAACTACCCTAACTGTACCTGGTTTAAAAACAGCACCTTTGAAAAGTGGCTGGGAGAAGGGGTACCTGCCTGTACTTTTCTCTGGTTACACTTGCAACAAAAAGCTCTTTCACTTTTCTTAAAAAGCAGAACAAAACAAAAAAGACCCCACAAGGAACTTTTTTTCCAGGTACATTTCCACCCATGGATTTTTTTTTTTTTAACCAAGGACACTGAATACTTGTCTGCAAAAACAGTTGAATCCGTTTTTTTTTCCTAAAGTTTTTATGCCATTAAAAATAAAATATGAACACAAAAAAAAAGCATCTCTAGAAAGTGTCCCTCATGGCAGCGTCAGACTGATGTGCGGTCCCCGAGGGCCAATCTATCTCATTTGAGAGACAGTGAGAGAAGACAGGAGTGAAGGCAATCTGCAGGCAGGGTTGGATGAGCTGATACCATCCATCAAAGGCAGGTGCAGAAATGCGAAGCTTGGGAGAGCTACGTGCATTTCCATCTAAAAACCAAAACACTCATAGTGAACAGTTCCAAAGAGGGACTTGTAAAGCGCTGCTAAGCGTTGCGCTCACGTAGCTCCAGTGAGCAACCTCTGTCTTTAGGAAAGTCAGGTCCCTCAGTGACCTGGGCTCCCTCCCCCACCCTCCCTTCTGTCCACGCCACCCAGGACGCTTTGCTTGGAAGAGTGGAACCCTTACCCGTGCGTGGTGGTGCCCAGGAATTGAACCATTGCACCGAAGTCCAAGTTGAACTCATTTGATAAAGTCCTTCTGTGACTACAAACCAGATGGAGACTGACACTGTGGTGCTGTTTCATTCATTTATTTAATTTTTTGTTGGTTTTTGGTTTTGGAGGGGTTTTGAGGAGGCAGTTTTTTATTCCATGATGACCTCAGCTGTGCTGAATCGACCGACCCCAAAGCACATCCTGTGGCTCTCTAGCTCTGTGAGCGGTTCTGCAAGAGTCTCCTGGCCATGTGTGTTGGGGACATGCTACCATCTAGATGATACTCTTGGGGGTTCACAAGGCACAGCACGTGGTCAAGGCTCTGAAAAGTCCTGCAGGCAGGAAGCTGACTGAAATTTGTGTCCCGAGGAGATCTAACCACAAAACTCTTACTTTGCATTACACCAACTTGGCATCCCCCAGAACCTGGGTTCTCCGGGACACAGATCAGAAAATGCTGGCTGACCTGTTGGGTCACCTCGATCTCTGAGGACAATGTCTCCTGCCCAGAAACAGGGTTCAGACTCCCAATTCCAGGCACAGCTGAGGCCTGTCATTCTACTTGGTAGAATGACACAGCATAAATCTCTGTCCATCAAGGGCATACCTGCTGTGCCTGTCACAAAGTGGAGAGAGCTTGGAAGAAAAGTATACAGCATTTTATAAATAGCTTTGGCCACTCTCTCCAGTGCACACCTCACTCACATTCAGTAAAATAATTTCCTCAGTGAGATGTGGCAGCTGTTGCTCACAGAGCTGGCTGTGAGCTTACAATACAATTTTAATAGTTTCTGTGAATAAATTACTCATTTTTTTGTTTGTTTAGGATAATCTTCACATCCCTTTGCTATATACTGCGTGAAAACAAAACAAAAAGCAAAACTTACACCCCATCCCACCCCGCCCCCTATTATTAGAACTATTATTATTATGGTTATTATATACAGTATCTGCTACCGAATCATTCACTAGCTGTGAGAGGAATGTGGCTCAAACTTCAACCAAGGTGTTGGAAATGAGAAGCATGGGCAGATGACATGCGTGAGGAACAGGAAGTGAATCTCCAGCCTTCTGAAGGAAAAGGGGCATGGGTTGAGACCACAGAAGGCTGTCCTTGCTGCTCACGCATGGAGGTTGTGAAGGGGTGCCAGTCTCCTAACCTTTGGAGGACTTGGGAGCAGGTATGCGTGTGCATTTGTGTATAAGCAGCCTGCTCTGATCTTCAGGGCGTAGACAGGGCAATCCACTGAAAGTCCCTGAATACAGAAGCCTGTCGTAGCTGTTTACTCTTTTACAGGGTTAGGAGTAGAAAAGAGCTCTTTACCTGGAGACCTGGGTGTGGGGCTAGAGATGACAGGAGGAGGCACTTGATGCAGCCTAAGTTCCCCTTCCCTCACCCAAGGCAGACATCACTAATCAATCACAGCACTCTTCCATAATGTCACTGGCAATTTGTTCTGGGGCTTAAAAGTTGGACCAGGCCCAGGATTGGAAACATTTTTATCGCTGCTCAGGTTAGGCAATGAGCTTGGACTACTCACCAAGTTAAGTGTTCTGCTCCAATCATGTGCTTTTCCAGTCTAGGCTATAGGCAAATATCTATTTGCAGGGGCCATGAACTAACTACTCATGAATAGTTCGAGCCTCGTGTGAAGTTCACAGATATCAGGGATTTGCTAACTGTGAAGCTGGGTAGTTCATGTCCATGTAAAGCTTCTTGAGGGCTGAAACTATTGGTTTTGTTCGCTGTTCTACCTGCAGGGCCTAGAGTCAGGCCTTGCACAGAGTAGCTGCTCAATAAATACTTGTAGCCGGAAAGCCACAGCCACTTCACTTTCATCACGACTGGCACTGCCAGTTTAAAATGACTGCAAAAAAGCCTATTCTATGAGACTGCTAATTCTGGTGAAAAAACAAAAAACAAACAAAAAAAAAAAGCTACCATCAGCTCTCTCCTTGGGTTAAAAAAAAAATCACATTTGACATTAAGGGAAATCAGTCTGAATTTAGTCCCTTGCAAAGGTGCCTCTTTCTATTTATTTCTAGCACAACTGCAAGAATGGTGGCATCAGGGAGGAGAATGTTCACACCCCAGATGAGCTTCAGCAAGCATAGAAGGAAACAGCTTTCTTCTGCAAAGACCCTAGAATCTTGCAGCCACCCAAAGAAGTCTATACAGACCATGTTTAAATAACTATAAATAATATTAATTAGCATTTATGGAATGCACAGTCCATAGAATTCACCAGCACACAAGGAAACCGCTGAGACAGTGTTGCAGTACTCACGTCTAAAATACAAGGACGCCCAACCTGCTCCCCTCGCGAAGACAGCTATCCTTCCCTGCTAGGATTTTAAATAATTCTCGCTATGCTGCTCGCAGCATCATCCCCCAAAGAAATATTAATTTACAAAATAACCCAATATCCATATAATTCTTTTGACAAATAAAAATCTTAAATTAAAAAGCACGATTCTGTCCCGCCCCCCCACCCCCTTATTCCAATTTCAGGTAGCTTGGCACTGAGTAATTGAACATTAAAAAATCGAGTTTGTAGACTTCGTACAGCTGCGTTTGGTGCTCTGAGCTGATGTTCTGGAAGAATTCTGTGGTCATTTCATCAGTAGTTCTCGTAGACTTGGCATAGGTGGGGAACTTCAGGTAGCTGCCCACGCCTGCCAGCTGCAGGACGTAATTAGAATCCTCCTCCAGCGTCTCGTACTTGCCCACCAGGTCGTAGTGGATGTGGCAAGGGTGGCACAGGGAGTAGACAGTCTGCCAGTGCTCGTTGAAGGGCTCCTCGCGCTGGGTGTGTGGGTCGATGAGATAGGCCACGAACTCCTCGAACTTGACGTCGTCACCTCTGCGCAGCGCCTCCTGCGTGGCGTTTTTGCGCTGGCGCTTGATGATCTTGGTGCCGTAGCGTTTGTGGAAGGAGGTGTTGTACTTCTGCGTGAACTTGTTGCGGTAGGCCGACACCAGCCTCTCGAAGGGCTCGCGGACGAACAGGAACTTCATGTAGCTTTTCAAGCGGTGGTTGATTTCGGGGATGCTGTACTGGTTCAGGGTCTTGAGGTTGGCCGACACGTGGGCCTCGTTGGCCGGGATCTCCATGGGGTCGCTGTACTTGCCCCGGCCGGTCAGCACCATCATGAGCCGCTTCCAGTTGGTGCACGCCACCTTGGGCACGTAGCAATAGATGAGCGCGTGGTCCTCGTCCACCACCAGGTGCTTCAGGTCGTTGGGGGTCAGCACCCGGCGCTTGCGGCTCAGGGCGCTGCTGGCGCGGCACGTGTCTGTGACCTGGTCCCGCCGCATCTGGTGCAGCACGGCCGTGTTGGAGAGGTCCAGCTGCAGGGGGCACAAGCGGAATAGGGTTAGCGCTTGCAGGCTAACTGCAGGCTAGCTGCCTGGGCCACCGCCAGCTGGCCCGGAGACGTCCATTTCTAAGGCCCCCTGTGCTGGCCCACCCACCGCTCTTGTTCTTCCTTCACCAGCCTTCGTGGTTGGCCAGGAATAGCCATCAACTCTCGAACTTATTACCCATCACCCTCGAGCCACCTGGCATTTCAGCCGAGATCCACACTAACTGTCCTCTACCTGCCCAGCCACCTGGGATTGTTAGTTGGTTGATTTCCCAGGACCAAGTCCTGCCACTGTGCCAGTTAGCAGGCTGCTGGGCACTAGAGAGAGCAACACCAGTCTACCGCCCTGGCGGCGCTTACAGAGAGATGGCAACGGGACTGGGGCCCCCCAGAGGCAGGAACTAGCCTGAGCTCATGTGGGTTTCCACCTCGGGTCTGCCTGCTGCCCGCTTTTCACTCCACCAGGTTCCATCTTTTTGACTGAAGTGGGAAGACGGCATGGAGGTGGCACACTGGGTCAATTTTAAAGCCGGGGGACCCCAATTCTCATCGACTGTTGCGTTTTATTTCCTTTGGAACTGCCTGAGTGTCCTCTGGAAACTGCTCTGCAGTCCATGACGTGGAGCACACTGGTAGAAGATATAAATGTGCATGTGAGCGGAAGGCTGACGGAGAGGAGAGGGCCAGGAGACCGAGGACGAGGCCTGAATGCCGGGTCTGCTCTTGGGTCCACCCTCACCTCGCAGAGCCTCAGCACTTCCTTGCAAAGTGGGAGCAGTCTCCCTACCGCGCTACCCAGCAGGGTGCTGGCAAAATGAAGCCGGGCTTAATATTTAGACAATAAGCTCAAATCTGGGTCAGAATTTGTAAACTACAGGAGGTGGTTAATATGCATGCTTTTATGAAAGAAAATGGGACTCCCCCCCAAAGGAGAGCAGGAATCTTAAAGGCAAATCTCAGCAGCAATATAATTTTGTTGTAGACCAACCCTAGGTCATGAAACTCAATCAGTGTTTACTGAATAGGAAAACGTTTGACTTTGGCGTCTTAGCTGTATTCACCACCTCACAAGCAGCATTAGTGCTGCTTAAAAACCAAACCCAAACCAGACTGCCCTAAAGGAAACAGGGACTCGGAGGGGAAGGGGCCATCAGTTGTGCCCACTTCAATGGCTATGAATGGTTTTGAAGGTAATAAATGATGCAATGAGCAGAGAAACACGGGGATCCCTCCTTTTTCCCTCTGGCTCTTTTGAGACAATTTGCTGCTCCCACAACAACCCCCCCCCCCCTTGAGTCTCCAGGGAGGCAGCGTGTCAGTTAATACTGCTTTCAGGACCAAGACTGCAAAGCCATGAAAAACGGAAATGATATCCCGGGCTCCTTTTCCGTCCAATTGCAGAGACAGAAAACAACTCAGGGGGCTTTGGAAGGTGACATCTAAGGTCCCTTCCACGGCATTTTAGGAGGCAAATGGGGGTGTAGCTGCCACAGTGGGCCACGTGCCATTTCCCTCTGAAGACCTGTGAGCCCGTAAGTGCAGATGCAGGTTCTCAAACTGACACACCCAGGCCCCTTCTCAGCGGGGGATATTTCACTGAGGCTCGAGCCATTTTTTTTTTCTTTTTAAAGTTATTTATGCATATAAGAACTGGGGTACAGGCCAGAGGGGCGGGGGGGGGGGGTGAGGAGATTCACCAGAGACAGAGTGGGGAGCAACACAGGCAGATGGACTGAAGTACACTGCTGAGGGGAGCAGACAGCAGGACAGGAGAGGTCTGCTGGGCCATGTGGGTCAGCTCCCTGGCTGGGGATCGAACTTGTGCTATTTTTAACTGTTTTAATGCATGTTTGACTTGAACTTTTTATTTTAAAATCACTTCAGCCTAGTGTTGACTTACTAAAATGTTCCTAAGATGGCACACATTTAAAGGTCTACAGCTCAGAGACCACAGAGTATGTTAACCTGGGGATGACATTGTTTCCCTGGATACCAAGCCCTGCCAGGCTGTGCCATGCGGCCTCTGGCAGGCTGGCCCTCTCTGCTGCAGGAGCTGTCTGCTTCCCACTGCTTCCTCCTTTTCCCTTACTGCAAAACCAGCACCCCAACCATCCTGTGGCTTTAACTCAGTACAAAGTCATCCCTTCCTCATTTTCTGCCTCCCCTGTTTCTTATTTAGCCCACGGCAATAAAAATGGGGCTACATGGTGCCATTGAGACCCTCAGTAAACACAGAAGACACTTCACAGGGCAGAAGTGCCTGAACTTTTCCAAAAGATTATAACCAAAATGAAAGTTCAAAATTAATACACGGCTTGCACAGAACTGCAGGCCCCGTGGGCGTCTGTGAACACCTGAGCCTTGCTTTAGGAAACCTGGATGAAGGTTTTGGACTTGCTAAAACACACCTTGCTGGCTTGAAACTCAAGGGGGCTTGAGCTTCCAGGGCAGGGCCTGAGAGCGTGCATTTCCAGTGAGCGCGCAGATGTGTGACTTGGTAGGTTTCAACAGCAAAACACCAGGCGGGTGGCTGAGGCGGAAATGTCTTTTCTCCAGGCCCAGCCCTGCAGGCAGGGTGGTCCCAGGGGGCTCACTTGTTTGCCCCTGGAGTCTCCACCTCTCTGTAAGGTCGCTGGTCATACGGGCTAGGACCAACCTAGCGTGATCGCACTACTGTGATCACCTTTTTAAGGCCCTACCTCCAAACACCATCACACACCAGGGCCGGGGTTGGGATTTCGGTGTATGGGCTGGGGGCAGCATGACTCAGCTATTAACACTGTACGATGTGGACGCTGCTGGCGTGGGGACCACCTTTGTGGACCCCAACATTGCATGGTGAGGGAGTGAGTAGGATGGTTCTGTACCTCTTTTGCCAATTCCTAGCGCTCTTTCCTCATGGAACACAAGCCCGATTTATCTTCTGCCGCCAGGAAGTCTTAGATTTCTCCTCCACCCTTGCCCCCCCATCTCCCTTTCATCTCCCCAAAGTATAAATTAGGTCCGGGGAGAGCTGGTTCTAGGAATGATGGGTGTGGCTAGGGGCTTGGACTGTGGCCTACGTTCTCATGTAGATGTCGATTTTTAATTTGGGCATTTAAAAAAGGCAACCATAATTAGTTTAAATCCCAAATTTAGGTACGGTATGAGTCTTTAAAACTCTATTATGTTTCATCTTAAAAGGAAGAAAAAAGCTGGCCTCCCTGCAAATCAAAGCATCTTCTGTGGTGGTTATGGTTTCCCTCGGACAGCGCACCCAGCTGCCAATCTCTGCCCCATTGTGGGCTGGGGGGTGGGCTGGGGGGTGGGGTGGGAACAGAATCTGCCATTAACGACATGGACCCAACTTCCATTTCTTTCTCCCCTTAAAAGTCCCAGGCAACCCCCTTCCCTAGCACCTCAGCTGTATGCCACCGACCTGGTAATCTTGGACTTGGGGGATCAAGAAGAGAACCCAGTGACCCTCCTTGCTGTGATTTTATCTTACACTTCCTTCTAGTACTGAAATTCCTAGACTCAGGGAAAGGGCCAGTTAGGAAGAATTGGCGCCATCATCCCCACAGCCAGGAGGCGCACTCTCGCCAGCTGCTGGCCATCGCACAGCACCTGTACCAGCCCCTGGCGCAGACAGGGCCCCTCTGTGTTCCCAGGTCCCGACAGGGAAACCTAGGGCAGGGAGGAGGGAAGTCATCTGTTCAAGATCCTGCAGCTAGGGGCTGGGGTTTGACCCCCTGCGAATCACTGTCTTCAGGGCTGCGAGTGCCACCCCGCTCACCGCCCCCCAGAGCTCTGGGGTCCTTGGGGGAGACCTTTGGCTTCAAGGCTCCAATGCCAGCAACTAAAACCCAGGCTGGACTCCGCAGGGACCTGAGTGTGATCCTGGGGAAGTTTCAGCTCCCGGGTCTTCAGATTCAAAATAAGGGGCTTCCCCTCAGCAGGTGCAGGGGTCCAAGGTGCAGAAAGCCGGGCCTCAGACCCCAGGGTGGTGCATCTCTGGGGGTTACGGAATATGTCAAAGCTTCTGTGCTTGGAAAAGTAGAGAAACATAGCAGCCTTTAAAGAAATACCCTGTCTGAATTTGCTGCAATCCTGAAGATGTGAGGAGAGCAACAAGCCCAGGCTAAGTGACATTAGCATTGCCAGGGAAATTGCTTTCTTCGGATTTGAACTTGTCACTAGGGAAACACTTGCTTGAGGCCAGACTGATTGCAGTTCCATATCTGTCTGAAACTCGGTGGAAGCTGCACTTGGAGGCCTGGAGGGTGGGTGGAAGCACTGGGTGGCCCAGGCCTGGGCCCGGACTCTGGAGCAGCTCCTGCAGCCTGACCACAGAGAGCGAATCTGAACTTCATTTTAACCTGGAGCTTCGAGGGCAAACACAGGTGAGCAGTAGCTTGTCAGGGGCCCTCTTTCCATACAGGGCTTCAAACTGGTGGCCTGAGGCTGAATCACAAATTCAAATGCCCCCGTGTCAGCAAGGGGGCCCCTGAAGGTGGGCGAGGCTGGGTCTGGCTGGTGTCGCCATGCAGGAAAGGGAGCCCGGTCTTCGAAGGCAGTGCAGCTTTTTCAGGGAGCAACCCACATTTTACGTGTCATCTCCGCTTTCTTCAAGGTTAGCTAGAAACATGTTTGCACCGGTGTAGGCCAACCCGTCACTCACTGGCGGGTTAGCTTGTGGGCTACCAGCGGGCACCTTCTCCCTGACTAGTAAGGAGGTCCCCTTTTGGAGAGGGTGTTCTGGGCCCCCATGTCTTCCATCCCAGGTCTTCCCCTGCTCGGTTAATGGCACCAGTGGGCAACTGTGGGGGTGGAACAGGCCAGACCCCGGGCGTGCAGACAGCACTCCCAGGAACACTCGCAGAGTGTGTGTGTGTGGGGGGAGTTACGAGAACCCACTGGGCCCTCCCCAGGCCCGCTGCCCTCTGCTCCGGGTGCTCAGCACCTTCTCACACTCATCCCAACGATGCCTCTCCCTTCTGGACGGCG